CTGTTGCTGGCATTATCAAGAAGTGGCCTGATTTGATTTATATCTCATTAATCCCTCCTTCTCTTTTTCTCTCTTGCACTTTCTCCTTTCTCTCTTTCTCTAGCATACATACCAACATTCCTCTCTCACAGATGCCTCACACTCTGCAATCTTTCATCATCTTTTCTCTTCCATGCAATGTGAAAGCTAAAGCTTCTGTCAGTCACTCTTTACAGAAAAGTTCACAATCAGCAAGCACTCGAGCATTAACTGAGTGTAGAAAGCGTCAGAGGAGTCCACTCTATTTTCCCCACCTTTCAAAGGAATTAATGCATTTGTAAGGAATGAATACAGGAAGTTCATGCTGTCCATAATAAGAAAGCAGAATAAAATAACTCAGTGGCTTGTGCCAACTAGTCACAGACTTATTTTGGGGGGCTTTAGCCCCACTTGAATTTCCTGCAGTGTAACTAAATAATTCAGCCTTTTCTACCCAATTTATAATGTAAAAATATGACAGACTTCAGAATTACAGTAGTCATAAGAAGGGCTAGACTTAAGACCATGTGGAAACTACCACTACCACTACGAATGTCCCATCCTATCTATTGGAGACATGTTTTTTAAATAAACAAAATATACCATTTTACGGATGGCAGTTAATCTAAAATACTGACCCTGATTTTTATACCCCTTTTTCTCTTGTCATAATTATTTTTATTTAAACATTTTTATATATTTTTTCTCTGATCTTTGAGGACATTGTGCATTTTTATTTGTTAATTTATTACATAACTTCATTCATTATCTGTATATTAAATAAATTTGTTACAGTTCATGTATATGTAGTGATGGCAGGGCCTGTGAGCAATACAGTAAAGAACTGGTTGTTCTAGTCTTGAAGATTTTCCTTTATGCCCTTGTGCTCCAAACAGGCCCATTAACTCCACCTCAGCATCATTTAATTACACTGACCTGATTTTTGCAGGCTCTTTTCTTCTTTTTTCTTTTTTTTATTCCAGTGGTGTCCATCATTTTGACGACTATAAATATACTAATGGTATCTCAGCTTACATTGGCCATTGCCCTATTGTGACAGTATGGTACACCAGGTTATGACCCATGAATAGAACGTGCAATAACGCTGTGAGAAAAGCTGTATTTTGGTCATTTAACATCTCTTGCCTTGTGATAGAAAAAACAGTTCTACAGCAGAGGAGTGGGATGTTAGTAATGTTACACACCATGCAGATCACTAATCCTTGATGGGATTAGAGGAATACCTCTTGGCATGTGCATAAAAGTCCCAACACGTCATTGGCTGTCTAGCACACTTAAAACTGATTGAGTCAGGGAGGACTCCAAAACATGCGCAAATAGAAATGTATGAAGCGGCATGGAGAGGCCCAAGAGGCTGATGTATCTCCATCCCTCTGATGAGGGCTGAATTTAAAGTGCTTGTGAAGTTAGCAGTTAGGAGTTAGTCCTGCAAAGGCTCTGTTGATCCTGCACTGTAGGCTTTTGTGCAATTGAATCACACAGGCAGGTAGACAAACATTATTTGCACATCTGGACTGCTTTACTGTCAGAGTATGGATGGCAAGCATCATTTGTCAAATCAGGTCTCATGATTGCTTATACTACTTGTAACAGAGGTACCATCACTGTCTGCCTTAGACAAAGGTTTCTGCTCAATGATGCAGTTCCTCCAAGCGAGCACAGGACTAGAATGGAGCAAGTAGACTGCAGAGGGAGTGCCAGTCTGAGAGCATGGAAGCAAGCATTAGACTCGGGGTGAAAGTCCAGTGGGAAATAAGCGGTCTAGTAACCACTCCACAGGTGGATGCTGCAAAAACTTTTTCATCTTTCATTATTGGCTGCTTGATGAGGCAATAATTTGGACCAAATACTGCAGAAGCAGCCCTAAGAAGAGCCTGTGTGGACAACAGGGGCACAAAAGAAAATATTCACAACTCCACATAACAGTTTCTGTAAAAGCAAGAAATGAATTCACAAATATTGCAGGTCTGGCTGTTTAATTGTCTCCACTTCTGTTAAGCAGGGTCGCGCTTCAGTATGTCTGCAAGACAAAGAGACAGCTGGCAGTTCATAATCTGTTAGGACAAAAGTTGAAAATGCTTTCTTTTCTTAATCCTATTTTCCTTATCTCTTTTCATCTAATTCCATCACAGCACTATGTAAATCCAATTTTGCTGCTTTCATTGTCAGTGTGCAGATATATTGTTTTGCTCTGTAAATCAACTTGATCTTTTCTACTGCCACAGTTTGGATTCTGTTCTGCTGATTCATTGTTTATCTTTTTATCAAGGTTTGATCTGTTGAAAAGGAGGATGAGTAAATAGCGGAGATACAGGGAGTGAGGAAGTTTTCAGAAGTCTTAACTGAAGCATGTTTTTAGTAGGTCATTATATTCATTCATGGCATTGAAAAGACATTGTTTTCACCTAAAAAGATGTGTATAATAAAGATGTGTATACAAAAATTCAGCTTCATATATTAATATTTTCTTCTTGCAGTGTCAATAGAACATCCAAGCATAAATCTTGTATTAAACCATGTGCTGCACTAAATCCTGTTGTTTTGTGCAAGGTTTTAATTTCGAACAAATTAAAACTGCAACAGTGGAATGTGATTTTCAGCCTGGTGTGTGAGCTCTGTCACATTTGCTCAGTCCCCCTGTATGAAAACAAATTCTTTTTCCACCCCCAGGCTTTGGCTGCTTGGAATTTAAATTTTGCAATTGAAGAATTAATGGAATCAGTAATCAAGCAATTAATCAGTAGTTACAGTAATAGCCTCCCCATTCTTAAGTGAAGAGCTTTCTATTGGAGATTAGGCTGTGTGTTGAACACACTGTATGCCTACAGAAACTATGAATATTGCATCCCAACAACACTGCAATGTTACTGCATGTCTTCATTCGCAGTGCTTTTCCAATTAACACAACAAGAGAAAATCTTCTGGGTTTTTTTTTTTTCAAGGAAATTGTGCTTTTCCTTCTAAATAGACAAATTGTCTTGCATAAAACATTTTTGAACACTGTAATTTGTTAATATTCTTTCTAAATTTTGATGTTGACTCAGTGACAACTAACAGAGCTGTTCATTTGTGATTAGTTTCTTTAAATATAAAAGATATTTTACTTAATTAATATATAACACATCTCAAGATAACTCTTATCTCAGAGAGCTCTTTCTGTTATTGTTGAAAGATTGAACCTTGTTGTGTGAAAGACATTGTGTTCCGTTACAAAAATGTTTCACATTTCCTGAGCTATTCATAGCCGAACAACACATATTCCACAGTGGTTCAGTATTTATCACTGACATTTCACTGGAGGTTGAAAATCTAACAGTATAGTTTACATCTTTTTCTTCATGTTCACATTGATTTTCTGAACATGCTCCAGTTTCCTCCCACATTCAAAAACATTCAGGTCAGGTAGATTAGAGGCTCTATAAATGTTTCCCTTTATCTGTGCTAGCTCTGTGACTCACTTCCGACCTGCCCAGAGTGGTTCCCTGTTTTTCACTTAGATAGTAGTGAGGAAAAAAATGACAATAAAAAAAAACATATACTAATGAACTGTATAATAAGCAAAGCAATGAGAAAGTTGTATGACTCAACATAATAAGAGTGTTGTAATTATTGTATTTGAATTCGTTTTTGAACAATGGTGTTGCAATGTAGTCATTAATAATAAGCCGGTAAAGTCCAGAGATGTTATACTGAACATGAAATTAATCAATATGTCAGCGATGTGTCTTTCAGTGGGTTTATTATTCCACAGAATGGATATGATTATGTTTAACACTAAAACACACACATACATTGATTATAGAAAACCAACAGGGTTTTTTTTATTTTTGTGTGACAGACACACTTGGCTGAGATATTTGACAATGAAGGACATCAGAGCATCAGTGGCATTTATGGCATTTAACTGTACTGATCTTTCACTTATTAAGTAGCTGAATACCCATATTGTATAAAACATGTAAGAAAAAATGTATGAAGTGCTTAGTAAAAAAGAAAAAATATTTTGAATGGTCTAATGGTTTAAGGTAAAATGTCTCAGACTTTAAAAGCCAACTTGGGCCCTGGGAATACTCAAGTTCCTTGAGTAAAGTTTATTAAAAAAAAGAAAAAAAAATGTAAAGTGTATATTCAGCAGAAAGCAAATAAAGAGAGGCCACTGTTGTAGTGTTGACCTCACTGCTAGTCTACATTTCAGCTGCTTAATGTTCCTGCCTTAACTCACAGTGCTTTTCCAGTTAACATGAAAAGAGAAAATCTTAACCTTAATCTTTTTAAGGAAGTTGTAAATTTAAACAGAGCTTTTAATTTGTGATTTATAAAAAAAAATAAAGAAAATAAACCCAAATGGAGAGGCCACTGTTGTAGTGTTGAACTCATTGCACGTTCTCTAAATCGATATACACACACATATTATATGTGTATATATATCTATATATAGATATATATATATAGATATATATAGATATATATATATATATATATAGATATATATTTTCACTTGCTTTCATGCTTTTTGTTTGCTGATTTGTGAGTTGTAATCAGAGGTTTCTAGATATCTTGACTCGATTGAAGGACTAGTGGGTGTTGAGCTTATTATTATTTATGCTCCTCCACACTGAAATATAAATCACAACGCAGCAGTCATGGCTGCTTTTTTTCACTTTTTTTCACTCGTTCCCTTCTTCTGCAAACAAACAGCACAGAAATCATTTGTTTTTTCAGGAATTTGGATTATGTGACTGAGATACAAGGACATTGTGCCTGAAAACGCATTTCTATATAAGTTCCCAGTTTGTGTGTGGATGTGGTTAATGGTTGCCACAAGACAGTATACCTTTTTTTAAGGCTATCCTTGTGCTAATAATTCGAAATGGCATGGGATAAACTTTAGTATGCATTAGACTTGTTCACACACTTACCTAATGGGTGTCTTCTCTTTTCTCTTTCTCATTTCATTCCAGTGGGCCAAAATCCTCTTTTAAGAGAGTGAAAGACCAGTCAATGAATTATGAATGTTAAACAAGATGACCTCCTCTCAGCAGCAGCAGATGATGCGAGGTCCTAGGTGGAACCGGGCCTTGTCCGACCCTTTGTTTGTTCTGCTCCTGGCCCTCCAGCTGCTGGTGGTCGCAGGACTGGTTCGCGCTCAGACGTGTCCCTCTGTCTGTTCGTGCAGTAACCAGTTCAGCAAAGTCATCTGCACCCGCAGAGGCTTGCGGGATGTTCCTGATGGCATCTCTACCAACACACGCTACCTGAATCTGCAAGAAAATCTTATTCAAGTCATAAAAGTGGACAGCTTCAAACACCTAAGACATCTAGAGATACTACAGCTGAGCAAAAACCACATACGCAAAATTGAGCTTGGGGCCTTCAATGGACTGGCCAGCCTCAATACCTTGGAGCTATTTGATAACCGCCTCACCACCATCCCAAACGGGGCTTTTGAGTACTTGTCCAAACTAAAAGAGCTTTGGCTAAGGAATAACCCCATAGAGAGCATTACCTCCTATGCTTTCAACAGAGTGCCCTCATTACGAAGGCTGGACCTTGGGGAGCTCAAACGGCTCAACTACATATCTGATGGGGCCTTTGAAGGGCTGAGCAATCTGCGCTACTTAAATCTGGGAATGTGCAATCTGAAGGAAATTCCCAATCTTATTCCCCTAGTGAAGCTGGATGAACTGGAAATGTCAGGAAATCAGCTATCTGTCATCCGGCCTGGTTCATTTAAAGGGCTTATACACTTACAAAAGCTGTGGATGATGCATGCCCAGATCCAGACCATAGAAAGGAATGCTTTTGATGACCTGCAATCACTTGTGGAACTCAATCTGGCCCACAATAACCTTACCCTCTTGCCCCATGATCTATTCACTCCTCTACATCACCTGGAGAGAGTGCACTTACACCACAACCCTTGGAATTGTAACTGTGACATCCTCTGGCTAAGCTGGTGGCTTAAGGAGATGGTACCTGCAAACACCAGCTGCTGTGCCCGCTGCAGTTCACCTCCTCACCATAAGGGACGCTACATTGGTGAGCTGGACCAGAATTACTTTCACTGTTATGCTCCTGTTATTGTGGAGCCTCCCACAGACCTAAATGTAACAGAGGGAAGTGCTGCAGAGTTGAAATGCAGAGCCAGCTCTTTAACCTCAGTGAGCTGGATTACACCCAATGGTTCCATCATGACACACGGTGCATACAAGGTCAGAATCTCTGTGCTGAATGATGGCACACTGAACTTTACCAACGTTACCATGCAGGACACAGGTACATATACGTGCATGGTGAGTAATTCTGCAGGTAACACAACAGCGTCTGCCACACTCAATGTTTCCTCTACAGAAAGCAGTTTCAGCTACTTTACTACAGTGACAGTGGAGACAATAGAAACCCCGCATAATGAAGGCTTCACCACTACTGTCCAACAGAAGGTTGGCCCCACACCCTCTGCTGGTACATGGGAGTCTATCTCACCAACCTCTACAACAACCACCACCGTCCGAACCGCACTCTCCACACGTGCCACAGAGAAGACTTATACAATTCCCGTCACAGAGGTGGGTGGTGAGGGATTGCAGAATGGCTTGGATGAGGTAATGAAGACAACCAAGATCATCATTGGCTGCTTTGTTGCAATCACACTCATGGCAGCTGTCATGCTTATTATCTTCTATAAGATGCGCAAACAACACCACCAGCAGAATCACCATGCACCCACACGCACTATTGAGATCATCAATGTGGACGAGGATTGTGTAACTGGAGGCCCAGGCATGGAGGGCCACCTTACTCTGCCTCCTCTTGAGCACGAGCACCTCAACCACTATAACACCTATAAGACTGCATACAACCATGCCTCCACAATCAATTCTATACACAGCTCAGCGCACGAACCTTTGCTAATCCGGGCCAGCTCAAAAGACAATGTACAAGAGACCCAAATCTAATACTTTTGTGAGACATTTTAAAACTGATGAAATTACTTACAGGCATTATTGACAGAACATTACTGACCTTTGGTTGCGAGGACTGCGGCTGACGCTCGGAATAACAGACTTGTGTTTGGCAAATCAGCGACTAGCAATGTTAATTCAGTGACTTTCGGAATTAGAGTATGTCTACTGTTTCAAAAAGTGTCTTTACAAAGCAGAAGTTATTTATTTAAGAAAAAAATGTTGTGGTTAAATCACGAAAACTGTATTCTGCAATTATTTTTTCAACACTTAATTCATGTGGGTTTTTTTCTTCTTTTTTCCTCGCATATCACAAAATTGGTTTACTAATATACTTTCAACTTCTTTCAAAGATGTGTCAAAAAACATGAAACAAAGTATTGTTCCTTTATTGTTCTTTTTTTGGTATAGCTGCCGATTTTCGATCAGATGACACAGTAACCTCATTTTCCCCATTTATCAAGGAATCCTAGAGCACATTAGTGATTTTCTCAGCTGTGGATTAATTGATGAAATCTTTTGTGACCATCTCTAACTGAGATGAATTAAACACTTGTTCATCATTTTGGAGTGAGTGACAGAACTGTCAGTGATGGAATCTGATCATTATTCACCGTTTAATTATCTGTCACATACATTAGCCACTCTGCGCTGTCATCAATAGGCTGAGGACCTGAAAAGAGGGAAATGCATCCATTTCTGCTACTGTAAAAGTTGAAGCTCACTGCTAGAAGGACAGTTTTGTTAAATTAAATACTGTTGATCTATATGTCTTTGTGTTTCTATTGTATATGTAAAATTTAAAATGATCCCTGATCTCAAATTTGTCTTGACAAATCGCATTATTATAGAAAGCATATAATAAATTGCATTAAGAACCATTGAAATTCTGAAGGTCATGCTACAGAAGCAGCATTAACACGTACTTTAGAAAGAACATAATTATGACTGGAGAGGATGGGAATAATGCTTGTACAGATGTACATGACCTCAAATTCTGGCAAACACCCACTGCCTCAGAATATTTCCAGTGTATCATGGCTTCACCTTTACCTTGCAGTGCTGTGTAGTGTTGCATATGAAGATGATTGCTTTGAAGCCCCATTTTCATGCTGGGACCCCTTACCTCATCTGCAGTACTGCAGGAGTGCTGTCAGAAGTAGACTGATGAGCGGAAGAAAGAGCTTAAACCCTTTATACAGCTGTCTGAGCACATTGCCTGTCATCTTTGTGCCATATTTCCACATGGGCAGTGCCTGGCAGTCCCAGATTCACACCCTGCTCCCGCCAACCACAGAACTTGTCCCTGAGTGGCAAGGCTTAGCTGCAAGAGGCTTATGGGGTGAATGTGTGGGATCGGGCATCAACCAGATGTTTGGGTTGCACCTGACTCTCTCCATCGTTAGTGACAACACAATTTACATTTTAATTGATGTGCCTGTGGGCTTTGGATGGGCACAGCTCTGCTGCCATCCATACCCTGGAAAGCATTTCAAAGTCCCAAATGTAATGAATGGTGCCAAGCACCATAAATGCAGTGGTTATGCAGACATTTGAGATGGCACAGGTTTATTTTTAGCAAGTTAACTGTGGTTTTTATTCAACAGAAAAATTTGCAAAAAAAAAGTTAGGCCACTCAAATTCTTAATTCGGTTTGGGTTTTTTTTTTGTTTTTGTTTTTTACACTTGCAGTAATGCAATCCAGAAAGGAATGCCTTTATTAAAGATGATGTCATGTGCTTTCTGTGGATTCACCACGCATATTATTTAAGTAAAAGCTGGTACTCCACTGAGAATTTGAAACATTGTCCTCTATTAGTTCAAAACATGTCTGGAAAAAAATACATGAAAACAGTCCACTGCTGTGGTCACTTTTAGATGAATGGTGGCAATAGGTGTTTTAAGTTCTGAAAGCTATTCAGAATAATGATTTAAGAAGTGAAAGATTTTCTGTGGGCTTTTCTTCAAAATCATTTACATATTTTACAGAAAATATAGCAAAAAACACAGTTTTCCTGTCAAGATAACAAGCAGCAATGTCTATAGGTCTGCACGTTACACCACCTGTTTCACAAACACATGGGCTACCACAGGTAACAATCAAACAAAAAGATCCCACTGTCTACTATACAAGTTTGTATACTATACAAGCCTCATTCAAAACTTCCACAAAGCCAAGCAAAATAAACCAATTTTTACAGAAGTTTTAAAAGAATTCACTCTCATTCAAGTGGTTATGTGTCACTATGAATAAAGGCAAATTAACAAAACGGCTTTAACCGGACATAAGTGCAAACCTTTTACAGCCAATACAGATTTTAGCTTAAATTGAAAAAAAGAATAAAATGCTGCACCCCTTAGCTTAATGCATAGAGTATGGAGATTAAATGAGATACAGTGTTAGTTTGCCTCAGAACAATATGATCTATGCTTGATTCACAACGAGTTTTTATTACCTGGGATACCTGATATATGTATTACAGTTGCACAGATTATATATTTTAATTAATTCATAATCTGTAGTGTAAAAAAACACACACACACACACTCCAGCACTCCACACAAACTCACACACACCCTATAATGCAGAGTATATTTAAGAATATTAATTCTATTAAAGTCATTTTATTTTCACAGCTTTTTTTCTCTGCCAGATAAGGAATTATGGAGGTTTAAGATGAGCGCCATTTGAGATGCAAGTGGTTATTGCATGTAGTGTTTCAAGGTGTTTTGATAACCAAGACGTTCTGAATGACGTTCTGAAATCAGAAGTTCTGATGTGCTGTGTACAGCACAGACGTGGGGAATACTGTAGATTCCTAAATAAAATGAGGTCACCGGGTAATATTAGTCCAGATTTAATGAATGATTCCCCTTAATTTTCTTTCAACAACTGGACAGGATTCACCCCATAATTGCCCTTATGTGGAGACTGGCACATTTGTAAACCATATTGTGCGTGTGTGTGTGTGTGTGTGTGTGTGTGTGTGTGTGTCATTCTCTGTTTCAGTTCATACTGGCAGGCAGGGGATCACGATTCTCCTCAGTTTATGTTGAGAGTGTAACCATCTTTCCCTTCTGCCTTTAGTTGGAGGTAAACTGTCTGAAAATTTCAATGGTAACTTTGTTGCATTTTAGTCAAGCTGTCTCATGTGTGTAAGATATCTAAAATATTTTTGTCAATATTCCTTTTTTTCACATCCTTTTCTTTTTCTGAGAAGGAATGCTGTTCTAGTGGTAGATTTATATAAAATACATTTTGAGAATAAAATATAACAAAAACAAAAATTTTTAAATTTTGATTTTACATGTGCCAACAATCTGTTCAAAAACTGAAAAAAAAAAAAAGATAAATATGTTGTAAAAGAATAAGAGATCGATTTTCATGTAAGCATTCTTTCATGACCTTTAAAAGATACGGAGATCGATTATAGAGACCAGTTTGTAGTTCATACACAAAATATGGTTCAAATAAACTATTGTTGTTTTTCTGTATTGTCTGATCCTTGTTTTCAACCTCTGAATTTATTACAGATATCATAGTTGATGTGAATATTTACCTTTTTTCGTCATCAGGAAAAAAAAATTATGCATACATAGTTGTCCAGGAAAAACTCACAGGGCTAAATATACAAAATCATATATAAAATTTCTCACATCCTGTCAGTAATGTCTGAGGGAAAAAAGGAATTTCAAAGACAAAGCAAACAAACTTTTGGTAAATATCAGTGTTCTTTAGTCCTAGTTAGTTCTCAGCCATGGTACTAGCTTGCATGCTACATAAACAGGATTGATAATTAAATTTATATAATTTATTTGGCACTGGATTACTTAGTAGCTTAACATTACAAACTAAACAAATGGAGAACTAATAAAACCATATTAGTGAAAAAATATCTTATCTAAAGCAAAGCACAAGGCAAACACGATGATTGTATTTTTCTAATTTAATTCTCCATTATCTGCATCCACGGGACATTGTTCCAGTTGATAATCAGCCAAGTAAAGTCAGATTCTGAATCTTGATATGACTGATGGAAAGTCATATGAGGAAGTGAAAACTAATAGTCATAAATTGTTAACAAATGAAATAGCTACAACATCAAGCTGGGGCTTTCGAGCAGTTTTGCTGAGAACAAGAACATCCAATGTTATTTAAAAAATAAAAAAATAAAAAAAATAAATAAATGCATCAGACTCTTGCTTGCTATTTTTGGATAGATGAAGATGCCGCTGATTGATTACAGTGAAGGACCTGGGCTAGATTCAACCCCAAACTTCCATGGTAAGGATCAGGCCCAACTGAAATGTGTGGCCGTAAAAACAAACGATAACTTAGAGGAATGTTTTTTGATTCTAAGATATAAATAGCACAATAGATTCCAGCCAGGTATGAGTAAAGGAACCACAAATTGGCAGTCAAAAAAGCAGACAAAAAAATGGAAGATTCACAATAATTGAAGAATTTACATAATGCAGTAATGGCATAATGTCATTAAAAATATTTGCTATTTGCACCCAAGACTTCCAACTTAATAGAAAAATGAAAACGTCTGTGTCCTGTGGAAGTCCAAATCTATTTAAATTAATATATGAGAAATAAGCAACTAAACTGCATGAAAACTATCAATCTGAACCTTTAAAATAAATCTGTAATCATAATTGGAAACTGCTAAATGGAATTGTTCCAAAACATGTTTTTACCCCAAAGTGAAAATGTGGTTGTTGCATTATTCTCAAAAATAACATATTTCAATTTATTTACTTTTTATTTATGAGTCTGCTTTTCACGGATGATGTGGTTCTGTTGGCTTCATCGGGTGAAGGCCTCCAGCTCGCACTGGAACGGCCGAGTGTGAAGCAGCAGGAATGAGGATCAGCACCTCCAAAGCTGAGGCCATGGTTCTCAGCCGGAAAAGGGTGGAGTGCACACTCTGGGTCGGGGATGAGTTCCTGCCCCAAGTGGAGGAGTTCAAGTATCTCGGGGTCTTGTTCGCGAGTGATGGGAGAAGGGAGCCGGAGATCGACAGACGGATTGGTGCGGTGGCTGCAGGGATGCGGACGCTGCACCGGTCCGTCGTGGTGAAGAGGGAGCTGAGTGTAAAAGTGAAGCTCTCAATTTACCGGTTGAGCTACGTCCCTACCCTCACCTATGGCCACGAGCTGTGGGTAGTGACCGAAAGAACGAGATCGCGGATACAAGCAGCGGAAATGAGCTTCTGGCTGGCCTCTCCCTTAGAGATATAAGTTCGGCCATCCGGGAGGGGCTCAGAGTAGAGCCACTGCTACTCCACATCGAAAGGAGCCAGCTGAGGTGGTTCGGGCATCTGACAAGGATGCCTCCTGGGGTTGGTGTTCCGGGCATGTCCCACCGGGAGGAGGCCCCGGGGCAGACCCAGGACACGCTGGAGAGATTATATCTCTCAGCTGGCCTGGGAACGCCTTGGTGTTCCCCCAGATAAGCTGGAGGAGGTGGCTGGGGAGAGGGAGGTCTGGGCTTCTCTGCTTAGGCTGCTGCCCCCACGATCCGGCCCCGGATGAAGATGGATGGATGGATACTTTTTATTTATTTTAAAGGTTGAATATACAACCTTTCCACTTCTGTGGAACTTTCTTATCAGTAACAAGCTAAAGCCCAAAGTCTTCTTCTTGAGGAACCATTTCAATTGTAGTGCCAAGTGATCTTCTCTGGAAAGTGTGTGATAAATTGGTTTTCATAATGGTTGCCTATTGAAAACATAACCCAGGGCCTTTTCCACTGGCTCCTTACTAATGCACCATTAAACTCCTCTTTTTCTTATTTATTCTGTTCCTAAGGCTCAGATGAATTAATGGATGCTTTCTGACAGTGCATTGCTTGGTATGTTACTGGCATTTTTTTGTTTGTTTTGTTTTTGTTTTGTTTTTTTTATAATGTAATATGTCAGCATTCATATAAAACTGTGAAGAAAAATATGTCACTACAAGAAATGTTTAAAGAGGACCTATTATGCTCATTTTCAGCTCAGTATTTATGTTCTTGGACTCTACACAAGTAGTTGTTCATGATTCACAGCATAAAAAAATAATAATAATGACAATATTTTATTCTGGATCCTGATGCAGTCCCTGGGTGTTTCCACAATTCAAAACAAGCTGCTTCATTTTCTGTGTCTTTAAGATCCCCCAAAGCTTAGCACCACCCAACTCCTCTTGCCAGTATGGAAATTGCCATGACAAATAAACTGGCATTTTCTCCAGTCATTCCCTTTATGTTTGTGTACAAATGTTATCCAGATGGGACATTTCTGTTCACTAAATATTACAGTCATTACATGATAACTGAGAGACACACTGGTGGCTTTAGTGTTTTAGTCACAATGTCTGTATATGTGAGACATGTTATGCTACAGACTTTTCTAGACTGTAGCACATACATTTTATAAGATGAACTACTAATCAGTAACAAAGTGTCCATATATTTGTTGTTGGGGTGTTCTCTATATAAACCTGAAGTCTCTATAGAACAGCTGAATATGCAGAAGGACAAAAAACATTGTTCACTTTCAGGTCACAAGCCATCCCAGTTACTATGTTATTGTACCACATGCATGTATATGCGCATCAGTTTTTAATATTAATAGAACATTGGAATATTCAGGCATTAACTAACACACTAACTTTTATTTGTTACAGATTCAACAGAGAGAAGTTGCTTGCAGTGTGAAAATTGCTGCGAAAAAGAAGCTAATTTCAGTTAATTTCTGCTCTGTTTCATGAAACCAGTGTTGCTGAGGAACAATAAGTGAGGCTTGTCTCTAAACACACAGCATGAGGACTAAATGAAGAGTTTTATGACACAGCCAAAGTTTTAGCACTGAAATAACTTGCCAATTACAAACACGTTCTGACAACATCTCTCTCCTGAAAATAAATTCTCCTTGTACCGACTGTCACAACCGCAGCAGGGATAATCTATGCTTTTTTCAACATTAGTTTTTTCAATTTGCAGTAAATTGTGTTCCACTGATTTTGTAATTCACATTTGTGTGACTCATCTCAATATTCTTCTGCTGAAAGTTCTACTGAAATATATATAGCATAAGGCCAACTGTAAAAATACTCCTGTTCACAACTGTCAGTCACAAACTGACACTGAGCCTCTTTAATAAATCCAGTAATTTTTTTTCTTATGTCAAGAGAAGGTTTTCGGCTGCTGACATTAGTAAAACTGGCCCTAAAAGTTCCTTCTTTTTTTATCAAATTCTGTTAAGAAATATACTCTTTTTTTTTTTTTTTTTGCCTGTCCCATTTGGTTCTTTAGCCATCAGAATTGTTGTCTGAAGACCAACAAGGATACCCAATGGATTTACTTTGCCAAATGGATCATCGTGGCATTGCCGTATTGGTCCATTTGGTCGATCTTTGTTTTTATTATTTATTATTTTTTATTTTCAGATGTTACAGACGGGACAGACATGAGTGAGGGATAGGAAAGGGAGAAAGAAAGAGGAAGGAAAGGAAAAACAGAAAGGGAGAGGGACAGTGAGAAAGGGGGGGAGAAAAAAAATAAAAATCTCCTGGATCACCTGTTGAGAGAAGAATAGAAAACAAGCAAAAAAAAAAACAAAGCAACATACTAAACGCAACACCATCGCATTAATCTAGCTAAGTGTAAACAGCAGTAAATACTAAATATTCAATGTTGTTGTGCAGCACGCAGGACAGATGTGCTTCGGAGTAGCAGTCAAGAAAGGTGTAATTTGGGTCTACGAGCAGTGAACACCCGTGTGCATACCTGTGTGGATCAGCGCGCTTGTATTCCAAAGGTTTCTCCATGTAACAATCTGCTAGGGAGTGTGGGGGGGCCACAGCCCCGTCCTCCGGGGTGTGAAGCGGGTATGGAGGAGATCAAAACTCCAGACATCCAGAGGCCCCCAGAACACAAGAGACCATGGAAGACCAACAGAGGGGCAGCCGCGCCACTGTTCCAGTAAGAGCTGAGGAGAGTCCCAGATGAGGGTTCACTCAGCAGCCGTGGAGCAGAAGCCAGGGGGAGTTGCAGTGACGCGCCCATGAGCTCCGCCGGCCCCCAGCTGTGCCTGAGTGACCGAGCCCCAGGCCGAGAGGCCGGGGGCACCCCACCTCCGAAGGGGCCCAAGCGAGCCCCAGGCTCCAGGCCCCGATAAGCGGCTGCCAAGGAGTGAGCCGGTGTGTACCTGGACGCCCACCCCCAGACACAAAGAACCACCAACGCACCGACACCTGAGGGAGTCCGCCACTGGCAGGGGAAGTGGTGGTGGGCGGAGATAGGCCTCCAAACCTTGGAGGGCCTGAGGTGTCCCCAGAGAGGTGGCGTCTGATACCCAACCTGGCATATAGACACAGACATACAGGCACACACAGACACAAACATCCATTCCCCCCCCCATGCTCTCATATGCACTCACTCCACACTCAACCAACGTGGAGACAGACATAAAGAGACGCTGTACACACGATCACACTCCCCAAGCGTACTCTA